CTTGCGGCCCGTTTCATTTAGCACGTCGTTTTAACGAAGTTAATACTTCGCGAGTCCGTTCCATAATGGCCGGTCGTTCATAAATTTTAGCATCTCCGACAGTGCACTGCTGCACTATCGCGTGGCCATATTGTTGCTCTCGAGGATCATTAAAGGACCTTCATGCCGTGCAAGATTTTCGACGATCCTCCTGTCCCGTGGCACGATTTTACATCGACAGGCTGACCCGTCGCGTTATAACGTATTTCATGGCTGTCTAACCCAAACCTAACCTTTTCTGAGAATTCGTGTTGTAAAATCCGCGTTATAAAATTTACGGAATATTTCTTCCACGATTTGCTGATTTATTCACTCGTTTCGAAATAATTATTATTTGGATATCGAAAATAACTTTACTTGGACAATCCGAAATCTCTGTCAACGCGAATTTCACCGTTGAAGTGGTATACGTGTTATCGAAATTTTATATGTATAAAATGTTCTCGATAAATCGATAGATATGGTTGAAACGTTTCCTATACCTTCTACGTAATTTCTACAGTATCTAGAAATTTTATAGTAATAAAAATTTCATTGGGAAGGATGAGTGGAAGGATAGTCTCCACGATCGATTTAGCGAAAAAGCGACTGGAAGTTTCGCGATACGGTGAAAATAATTTTTATGGGGTCTACGTGACTTTCGGAAATATATTTCCAGCCTGGCGTCCCGGGAGGAAGTGGACGAGGGTTAAGCAAGTGGTCCTCTTCTTGAAGTAGTTTCTTGTGTCTCGGTAGGCCGGATCGGGGGTTCGTGACTGGGGAAAATTAAATTAAAGCGGTGGGATCGGTGGCTCGATTGGCGTGGTGGGCGTTGGTGGAAATTGATGCGACGTAGCTTCAATTATCGGCGGGCAGCGAGGGAAAATCCCTCGGACCGTGTGTGACGGTGAAATTAATTTTTAACACGAAAGGGAAACCTCGTTCCGGCCCCTCGCGCGGTTTTCCAAAGTTTGCTCCATCGATGCCATGGAACAAAAATTAGGCTCGTTGTTTCAGTCACGTGGCCACTTCAACTGCTAACAATGCGCTTCGATACTTTCCGTTGTTTCCGTTGTTTCGAGTACCGACAGTCTGTACTGCTCGCAGAATTGGAAATAAAAAATAAAAGATAAAACGAGTCCGAATCCGAGGAAAAGTTCGTTTCATCTCGATCGAGATAGTCTATTCTAATTCGAAATTGACCCTAAACGTAGCTTAATTTATTTCATCGATCTTTCGATAATTGGAAATGAAGTTTCAAATGCCACGAGTTATTTGGAGTTTTAAATAGTTTAGAAAGATGAAATGAGACGAGACGTATTTGGCTAACTAATTTACGCTGTCATCAGCTCGTGCAGCCCTTAATTAAGCGTCTTGTTGAACCATTAAATTATTTAAGTAGCTGATCTCGTTAAGCTTCTAAACTGTTTCTCTCCGTTTCAAAAATTCAACGCTGCTCTTGTAACTTTGATTAAAATGTTACACGAAAAAGATCCTCGGATGAAACTCCTTTAATATCTGTCCGTCACGTCATCCAGGCTTTCGAGTATATCGGTATTTTTAGATGGAGCAATACCACAGACACTGCGCGTTAAGACAACTCCAGGTACCTTACAACTGACGTACATATAAACATCAATTATTCATTCCCAATTTTTATCTCGATCCAATTAACCCCAGACACGTACAATTCTTCTCCACCTCGAATACCAGAATACCACCAACCACAACACACAAACTCAGTGTACAGACAGGGTAAAAGTTCACCGTTAACCTCTTAGGCACGACTGAATTTTGCGAAGCTGATTTTCTGTACGACAGAGTTTGCGTAAATGATACGGCACTGCATACCTGACATTGGTATATCAAAAAGAGCCACTATAGTGGCGTATCGTTCAGAAAGATGACATCCGCGAAAGCCACTATAGTGACGTATCGTGCCTAAGGGGTTAAAAGTCATTAAAATTCCTTCTTCCCAAATTCCGAACCTCGAAAAAGAACTTTGACCAGTGTCGTACAGTTACCACGAAGGACCCCCGACTTGAGGGGAACTCGAAGAAGAAAATTCATGGATCCCAGAGCCGACCATTGGATCATCCGCGAGGACGACTATGTTCGACGACGCGTGTTTACGACTGCCGCGGCGAGATCGTGCGGTTTGAACCTGGACCACGCAGCCAGGTACACCCCCGAGTGCCCTCGAGGCAGGATTTAGTATTGGCTCGCGGGAGGTCGATCTTAACTGCGGCCATAAACTTTTAATCCCTGCTCGTGGCTCGAAACGGGTCAACGCGTCCATCAACGAACGGATGTACTACGAAACGATCGTCGTGGCTGCTGCAACGCTACCTGGACCGGGGATTTTACGGCGTCCCGGTGACCCCGTGAGCTCGAGCCGGCTGGAACAGAGCGGCGGGCACGGTTCCAGGGACCGGTTGCTTGTCACCGACTATTAACCCTTCGTTTCGCGTGGTTATTAATCGATAATTTCATCCCGTCCCATTCCGTCCTCTCGGCCGGTGGTTCATTCGAGTCCAACGTGTCATGGACAGAATATGGTCGCGTGTTTTTCGCGTCGCTGGAGAAATTTATCGCGACCAGTGATCGTGTTTTTGGGGGCGCGGCGGGTAATCCGGAGATGCGAGGGAAGGATAGCTTCGAGATCAATTGTCTGCTAAATCGGCTGGTGTCAGAGTTTCTCTTGGAAGGCGATCGTTCCAAGGATCGAGGAAAAAGCAGAGTGCCATTAATTTCGTGGATTAAATCAGTTGCCGATACTTCGGAGTCTGACGGTAAAGGAGTAGGATCCTTGGAAGTAGACTCCTTTTCACGTGGAAATCCTTAGTCTGCGTGACCGAGTTTTCGCCAGGGATCTGTGTGTTCCCGAGTAGAGCTATTAGCGAAAAACGCTTTGAGAAAAGTTGTTGTTGGACCTGGAGTACCCTTCCTTCGAGATAATTATTCTAGAAGAGAAAATACCATATTGCCGACCCCGTATCTCGGATAAAGCATGATGAAATATCGACTCTTAGCGACCATATGCGTCAAGTGATGTATGGGGTAATAATTCATCTCGATTTTAAGGAATAGAAAAATACTTAGCCCTATCGAGAGTTCTTATGATCTCTGGATTCTGTGACACTCTGGCGAGGAGCACAAGACAGTCGTTGTCTATTATAGACAAAAACACCACTGAAAAACACTGTCCACTACTCGTTTCAAGAACCACACAATATCCCTTTGGATTCGTCCATCGTAACCGGCGCCAAACAAGACCGACCTAGTGACGTAATACAGTAGTTACGAAAGGAAGTACACATGTATGTGATTCTAACTGTCACAGTTTCTCACTCTTCGTCAGACTATTTAGGATTCGTAGCTCGAGTCACGAAGGTTCGACAAGACTGACATTATCATTAACGGGACGTGGTTTTTAAATCGCTTGAAATTACACGTTTTTCCCTGTTCCTATTCAATCGCGTCTTATACAGCTTCTTAGCAATTTAAGAGACAATTTAGAGAAACCTAACATTCTCATTAGCGTAGATCTCGAGATTATTCGAAATTACATATTTCCTATATCCTTGTAAAAATTTGTTGCAAGAAACGAGCACGTTTTGCACCACTTTTTAGCAATTCGAGAAACAATTTAGCGATAATAATAATCATACCAATTTTGAAAAGATAATCGGTTTAACCTCTTCAGGAATACTGATATAATTATGATTATTATAATTGGAGAGCAAATTAGAATCAGTTGGAGAACTATTCGCGACAGGATCCATCAGCGATGAAGATGAAACCTCATCGAGTACTCCTAGAATTGTCATCGATATAAAACGAATAAAAAATAACAATAAAAATTATATAGATTTTTTCCCATTTTAAAAAATTAGTCCCCGAGGAGGGTTTCCTATATCCTTGTAAAAATTTGTTGCAAGAAACGAGCACGTTTTGCACCATTCTTTAGCAATTCGAGAAACAATTTAGCGATAATAATAATCATACCAATTTTAAAAAGATAATCGGTTTAACCTCTTCAGAAATACTGACAAAATTATGATCAGTGTAAGTAAGGGACAAATTAGAATTAGTTAGAGAATTATTCGCCACAGAATCCGTTAACGATGATGAAAAACCCTCGTCGAGTACTCGTAGAATTGTTATCGATATAAAATAAATAAAAAATCATACGGATTTTTTTCCCACTTTAAAAAATTCGTCCTCAAAGAGGTTAAAATCCATTCGAGGAGGAATGATCTCGGCTAAATAGTTTATTTCTGCCCGACACCGCCCGCTAATCACTCACTCTGCGATCTCGATTCAGAAGTCGCGCTGGAGTCGCGACGATTCGGGCGGATTAATCGATCACCGGATCAATTTGTCAAAATGAAGCAAGGCGGGCAGAAAGGAATGGAGATTAACAGTATCGCTTTGATTAAGTGGTTTTAAATGAATCTCGGACGGGCTTGCCACGTGCGGCCGTGGAGAATAATCGTCGGATCGATTCGGCCTAAACGGATGAATCGCGTCCAACAGACGAAAGCTCTTTCCACGGGCCACACGTGAAAACCTCGTCGTCGGCAGACGTCCCGGGTTCAAAGTTCAACCAGGCTGCGGCTGACATTTAACGAACTCGATTAAATAATCGTATAAATCATTTTATTAAAGACCGTCGAACCGATCCGCGAGAAATTGACCGACATGTTTAAAGGTTAGGGACGTGCGCGATGAAACGTGTATACTCGGGCGAGTGATGTTGGATCAACGAGAGACACGCTTCTGCGAGTAGCCGGGAGAAATTTAATTGACGAGTATTCGGGTTCGGGCGGATTGCAAAATCCTGCATCGAAAGATCAGAGGTGAAGAATCGTTGCATCTTCTTCCGATATCTGCGAATCGGTGTTAAGCGGGCAATCGTCGCGTTGCTAGTGAACTCCAAGTTTTCGAGTTTGCAATTTATTTTAGCTGGAATACATTCGTTATGCAAATTCGCATTCTCTATTTGCGTTTCGTACTTGAGTCGGTATGCAGATGGCCTTATGATCGATATGGGTACTTGTGACGTCGGGTAGAAAGCGGAGCATGAACTGGAGATTAAGAAGTGTAAAACAAAAATAGATATTGTACGAAAATGATTTTTCCGTGAAGAATATGGACGATGGAAATTCAATTAATAAAGAAGATTTTATGATATAAAGTATAATCATCGCTGGTACTATTATAAAATTTTTTAATATAATAATATTCCAAGCGTTATCTACGAATTAATAATGATAGATTCAAGTGTGCACTAGCGGTTCACAGAAAGTGAAAATATCGAGTAATGCTAGATAATAGAGAACGATTCGTTGATTCGTGCAGATGCAAATAATTGAGACTCGCGTCACGCGTCGATGATCTAGTCCTTTGATAGACTGTCAAGCGGACGGATAAATTAAAATAAATCGCATAAATCTTCTCTGGCTCGAGTGTAACTGTGTATTCCATTCGCGTATTTTTCGTCATCATTTTTATGTTCATCCCTTTTATCCGGTATAATAAAAATTTTTTAAATTATTCGGATAAATGAGTCTCTCTTTCGCGACGATCGTTAAGACCATGTTTAAATTACTTGAAAAGTTCACGTGCGCTATGAATTTTATATATTAAGCTTCACTAGACGTTATGGATTTGGTATTACATTATCGCGTTGATATTGTACGAACCTTAACGTGCATCCAATATTCTAATACCGTATTTTATAGATCAGACTCACCTGAATGTTGCAGGAGAAGTATCGCCTGGACGCACCAGTGCACCTGTTGTAGCCATTGTCACTGCAACGATAAGACGATTTTATAGCGATCGAACTGGGTCTTCTCATAATAGTATACGACTAGGCAGTCAATAAGGCCGATGCTATAAATCTTTGCAAATAAATCACTGCCGTAGACCAAAAATTAATACTCGACAAACTGAAAGAACACCGAAGTGACATTTTAAAAAATGATCTAAAACTCTCTATATTCGATTATAAAATGAACTTTAAAAAGTCAAAAACTCATCGTACCTGATATCGAATAAAAGTAATAACACGAGAATGCCAAATTCCTGAAAAATTTCGAAATTCATCGCGAGTAAAGGTTAACCACTTGCGCTAGAAAGACGTGCCACGCACGTCGTAATGCTTTTGTCGCAAAATCGTCAACTACGTGGTATACACGTCGTCAAGCATTGTCACAGAAACACTGCACCGTTCTGGCACACGCGTCTGTAAGTTTATAGGTAGCGCAAGTGGTTAACAATTAACTTAACAATTAACCCTTTGCACTGGACGACTTTTTGGCTAGCGAAGAATAGAGAATCATAGATTCTCCACCAAAAAACTAACGATACCTTTTTGAGCAGTAAGTAAAGAATTGTATAATAATAGAATTTTCGAATTATTTGATTTCGATTCCTCGCATACTATTACATTCCATTAAATTTGATATATTAATTAATATCGATCTTCCAAATTTTACGAAATGGTGACTGATGGTCACCTCTCGAGTGCAAATGGTTAATTGTTAATCCACTGGTAACAGGAATTTAATAGGGACTTAACAAAAATGTAACGGGTGAAATAAACACGGGAATATCGGAAGTACGAACCACCGATTCGTTTGAATCTCGAATCTCGATTCGGCGAAACATGGCGGCTCGCGACTCTAATCGGAAATTCACACTCCGTTAAATTCCGCGTCGGTCGTGCCTCCTCGTTAACGAGCTTCTTTCGAGGAAAACTCGCAGGAAAAGTGGAACGACAAATTTTTTCTCGCCCCGTAAACCGCCAACGTCCTCCAGCACCGCGCCAGGTAAAAATGCGACTCGCTGCAGTCGGTTCCTAAATAATTCGCGCGCAATCCTTTCGGGAAAATTGCGTTCTCTCGCCCCGCGCGGTTTCCATTCCAATGAAATTTTCATCCGGAAATCAGGTGGAAGGAATCTAACGTATCAGCTTAATGCGCTTGTAAAGTGTCAGTGAATTTCCGCTTCGGATAAGTTGAACCGTGCAAGTTGAACTACTCGCTGGGATTTTTGGAACATCGAGTTCAGAGATTCGAGGCTAGCTTCGGATAAGTTCCACTGCATGTCGCGGTGAAAACTTTCGATATTTCTTTTCCCGGTTCGAGATAGAACTTTAAACTCTCCGATAGAGCGAGAGAAGTAAGCTTTAAGAAATTTATTTTGCGGTTCTCGCGTTGGGTGTTAAAGAAATTTTGGATAACCGGTGTACGAAAATTATTTACTGTTCGTTGTTGGGAGGTAGATGAATTTTAGACAAAGGGTGTATCGAAATTATTTGTAATGACTATCACAGTTCGATTCTACACCTTTGGATCGATGGTGATTTTTATAAAATATGGCGTGCAAAATTGTACAGCAGGTGGCAAAATGATAGCACACTCTACGATTTTCAGTGTTTCTCGAGTGACTTCAAAGAGGTATATCTCGATAAAAAAAAATCGTCCGATGATAAATCAAATGTGATTTTACAGGGGGAGGTTAGTATTATTGAAAACAGTTAAGGAAAATGTTGGAAAAAAATTACTATCCTCGGAATATTTCCCTAAAAATGACAAAAATCAATTTTTTTTAACATACGCATACACTGCATTAGTTTCAAGAAACACTGAAAATTACAAGCTGTGCTATTATTTTATAGTTCGAATCCTGCTTCATTAACACTAGAACTATCAATCTAGTCAAAACGATTGATCTCGGAATGTTCCATTTTGCAATTACCAGAAATATATACCTGCTTTTCAAAAAATTATCAATGACTTATATATATATAATATTTTATCAAATATTATAAAATTTCTATTATCTGTGCAGCTATGTTTAGATATCCAGTAAAGATCGGTAGTTCTAGTGTTAAGTAATACAATTTTTTAAGCAATATATGGCATACGAGGTACCACAAACAGTACACGAATAATAAATTAACCAATTAATTCCTACAAGGAGAATCATCGATATCTCTCACATAATCGAACGCGTTAAAAACAGGTACGATCCAAAGGAAATAAAAGCATCGTCTAGAAAGTGGATTCTCCTCGTTCTGAACACTTTCCAGGACATTTCATGTTCAATTTCGACTCGCTAGCTTCGAACTACCTCCGATATAATCGACCGAGCGTAACGCGAAATTAATCTAACACCGGGTATCCGTGGAATTGCAGTAAACGCAGGAACGCCGTTCAGTTTGGAAATTCCAATGGCGGAAGCGGTGAGCGAAGATCGTAAATTGAAAAGAACTGTAAAGCGGCGCGATTAAGCCTGACCTACGACACGATCCGCGAGATCATTCCGTACACGTCGAATGCTTTCACGATGCGATTAGCCCGCTTTCTCGTTCCCTCCAACGTGTTATTAACGACTCATTATTCCGCTCTCGATTTCTTCCGTCGATACCCGTCCTTTTCACCTTCCATTTCCACCCCGTCCCCGTTTCCGCGTTTCGTTTGCGCAACAGATCGGCCGACAAACTCGCCAACAAATTCTCAGATCTCCTCAGCGAGGGGTTCCTTTGAGACGCGAGGGTTTCGCGAGGCACCGGAAGCGGTCGCGATTAATCCCGGCCGAGCATCCCCCGAGATAAGAAGGATTTACCGTGATTCCCCGGGAAGAAGTTGGCCCGTGAAAAAATTCCGCGAGGAAAGTCCTCGAAGCGTGGAAAAGCCGGCGGGGCGGGATTGAATTTGAGCAAACCCATCTTCGCGAGAAATGACGAGATAAAAAATTAATTTTCCATTACCAGCCACGACTGGCAACGTTTTGCCAGTCGCTGGAATTTTCAGACCAACTTCGCCAACGTCTGCTTGTAGCCATCTTGTAATTAATATTAACGCGGTGATTCCGAATGCGGGAAAAAGTCTCGTGAATATTTATACGACGAAAATATTCGCGGATCTTACTCGCGGCGTGTGCCGTAATTCCGCGTTGTTTCCCTTTCCCGGGACTCTATTTGGATATTTCATGTTTCCAGGATTTAATTAAAACGCCCCCCATAGGCAACAGTGAATCGCGCGTACATGCAGCTATTTAATTCCAAGTGTTAGAGTGAAAGAGTGCCCGCGGCGATAGTGGGATAATTAACCAAAATACCCGATAACGATAACTCGATAACCTATTATTACATTGCTTCGTTTAGAAATCGGATTTGCATCGATACCACGGCTGAATCGCGATAATTGGAACCGGAGGTACAACGAGAACTCGTTATATATAAATTCGTTTCAATCTTTAACCCCTTCCCGTACTTTGACGAGTCTGACTCGTGACGAGGATTTTGGCCCAAACACGAATACCACGAACCAGGCATGTGGACATATCACACGTATTTACATTTCGGCTCGTATTGCGACTATTTTCGAGCATCAGTCTGGTCTGTTTACCGTGCGTTGACATCTACCGTTTGGGCCCGGATTTCGTGGACTCGATGGCACTGGAAAGGGTTACCCTCTTATCGAACGCTAGCTTTTTATACGTGATTCTCACTAGATTGTAGTTGGTTTCGGTAAATATGCGAAAGATTTCCGACTTGTCACCTCCCACGTGACGCACGACCATATCGACACAGTACAGTTATCACGTGAGAGGTGACGTACTAATGCTAATAACAGCCTTGCTAGGCTTACCGTCCCGATCCTATTCCTATCCCTTACCCTAGTCTAAACTCCGTATACTAAAGGATTATCACCAGTGTCAACGAATAATTATATCTATGGTAATGATTAAAGTCACTTACTCTATGTCGAGGCACTGTCTGATCTGATGAGTGACGCCTCCGCCGCAGGTCCTGGAACAGGAGCTAGGCGACGACCATGGTCCCCAGGTTCCTCGTTCAGGCTCATCCGTGTCCAACACGAAGCTGCTGGTCAGATAGCTCTCTCCGTGTTGACGACGGTGTCTCTCGTGCCTCAGTTTTACGTGATGCTGCAACAGAATCGCGAAAACACGTTGAAAGCGGGTTCTCTCTCGCAACATAAGTCGCGGAACGGGTCAGCAAAGGGTAGCTCGAGTATCACGGGGGTCGCGAGGCAGACGTGGGAACACAGGGCGAAGGTTCCGCGCTAAGTGGGCCCTTATTCACCTGCGGCCACGTCTGCAGGTACTCGCGTTGCAATGGGTGACCTTCGTGGGGAGCAGCGTAGGCGTGATCCCCTTATCGGTCGGCCCCGATAAGGTATAGGCTTTTAGCCGTGATGAACGGCCAGCCCCGACAGGGGTGAAACGTGAACTACGTTATCGTTGCCAGCGAGTGTATATTCGACGGCTTTATGGGCTAGATCCGCGTTAAACAGCCATCCAGGTGTGTAGTTTTTCCCCGGTGCGTCTGGGAATAAGTTCGAGACGTGGTGCTCGAGTTACAGGGGTGTCGGGATCGATGGCGTAGCTCGGATGATTTAATTCTTTCCTCCTCTAATCGA